AAAGAGATTGACTCGCCTTCTTCGGGAAAGTGTAAGCAGAAGAAGGCCGCAACAGCGGCGGCTGCGCGTATCTGCCCGTGTCCATTGTTAAGATTCAGTCTTGTTCTGCCACTATAATGGGCAGACCCAGGGACCCGAGCAACTACTGATAAGGGGGGGGCAACTCACTGCCGGAAAATGGGCTCTGTGGGGTAGCCTCAAGGTGATTGGATTTGCCTGTTTGCCAGCGTGTTGTTGTGTATCTCGGTGACTCGCCTTGTGCATTGTAGTGAGTTTAGCTTATGTATTATGAATCTGTGCTTATGTACCTACAACAAGGTTAGCCTGTGTCTTACGGTAAGGTACGGACTGTGCGTTTGTTGATGGTTGCTGCACAGTTGCAACATGTGGCGCGCAGCCGATGCTGAGGTGACTACATGGCATTGCGTACTGATGCTTAAGGTTTGCAGCAGCGTACACTTGTCACGCGCGCCGCTTTTGATTGGGCTTTGTCGTGTCTTTACTCTCGCTTAAAGAAGAGTCAAAAAAGGGAGGGGCTCTATTCAAAAATACTTTCTTTTTTTTTAAAACGGCGAATTGGGGGTTTTAGTTAGGCATAGAGGTACTATGACTAAGGAGGATATGGCGTCTCAAGCCACAAGTATTGCAGGGTGTTGCTGCAACTTGGAAGATTTGTCAGGGAGTCAACCGTTACTGTTTTGACTTTAAGTTTGACCGGCGGCCGCAGTTTGTGGCCATCATTGTGGGGCCCTCAGGCGATCCAAGATTACAAGGACCTCTCTTGCGAGACTGAGAGCACCATTCTTGGATCTGAGAGTCTCAAATCTATCATTTTTTCTGCCCCTCCCACTCTAAGTCTAAGTCCTGAGGTTCTGATGGAAGGCGGCAGGCGGGATTGCAACCCGTAGGTTCGCGTCAAGACTCTGTGGGGAGTCCACCCACCGATTGCGGGAGCTCTGCCGGAACTCAGGAGAAGTTATGGAGGCAGGGAACCATCAGGTAAACCACTTCTTCTATATAATCCACTACTACCCCTGTTTGCCTATCCCCCTGCAGTATGATTGATGTACGCATGAGTTTGTCCCTATGATTATTGTTTTCTCTTCAGGACCTAATCAGATTGAATGGAAAGAACGTGTGAGAGTGAAGCCTAAGTTTCTCCTTTGTTTTGACTCAAAGCAGACTAAGGAATGAACTGGGGGAAGGTCGGAGGAAGGTGGTTTTGCATGCGTTTGGAAGGGTCAACCAAAGCCTGAGCATTGTTTCTACTGTGAATAGCTCAGGGCTATGTTTTATTTGGCTGTTTTCTGAAGGACCATGCATTTTTTCTACTGTGAATGGCCTGAATGCTATGTTTATTCAGTTGTTTTCTGGAGGACCAGACATTGTTTCTACTGTGAATGGCCTGTTTACTCTAGTTAACTTTGAGGGTTTGCCTGATTGAAGGGGTTTAAATTCTTGTTTATTCCGAGGGAGAATTTTTGGTCTAAGGCTAAGCATTGTTTCCATGGTGAATGGTTTAGCCTGCAAACCACGCACATAAATTAAGCTGAGTATAAAGGAAAGTGCTTTATGTATATTTGCCTGTGAACTGGCAGCCGGGCATTGTTTCTACTGTGAATGGTCCAACGTTAAGTCATATCATTAAGAATAGAAAAGGAAAAATACAAAGTATAAATGAAAATAGTTTGGGCAAGCTGAACATTGTTTCTACTGTGAATGGTTCAGTCCCCTACCCATATTTGTCTTTTTCTTCTGAAAACAAAGTCAGAGAAATACTAAAATTTTGGATATTAAATAGCTCAGGGTGACTAGGCATTGTTTCCATGGCGAATGGCCCAGTCATGTGCCCAAAAGAAGAGAGAAGTAGTTCTGCAATCTGTTCATGTATATCATACAGACAAGCAGGACATTGTTTTCATGGCGAATGGTCCAACTCTACGTCTATGTAAGATGGGTATAAGGATTCAAGGACTTGAAGATTCATGAACTATCTATATGGAATGAACTTGGGATGATGAGAGTACTTACATTCGTGGTTTGGTTTGCATGTGACTGAATGAGATGGCTAGTTGTTTGGGTTTTCAGTGTTATAGGTAGTTGCTTTAGTTGTTCGCCATGTGCTATAGCTATATGAGTTAGTTTGAATTCCTGCATTTTCTAAGCTAAGTTTTTTTACTTAGATAAATTCTCGCATTTTTTTAGATTATTTTTTTGTACTTGGCTTTGTATAAATCTTGGCAAGCTACTTTCTCTATGGGAAGCGCTGCCGAAATTTCTACAGATCCAAGGAGTTAGTCAAACTTTTGACTTCTCAGAGTTCAACTTTAGTCAAACTTTTGACTTCTCAGAGTTCAACTTGTCTTTTCTCTATATCTGGCTTAGTAAGAATCTAGAAAGTCTCATTTTCGAAAGGAAGTGCTACCCAAATTTTTACTAATTCAGGGAGTTAGACATAATTGGACTTTGAGAAGTCAAAGTTATTCTTAAAATCTGAACTTAGCTTTGTATGAATTTTGAAAAAACACTTTTGTAAAGGGAGTGCTGCCAAAATTTTTGCAAAGCTAAGGAGTAAGTTAAATCTGGTCTAAAATTGAACTTAAGTCTTCTTTTGGGTTCGTATCTGACTTAGCATAAATCAAGGAAGTCTCCCTTTCTAAAGGGAGTGCCGCCCAAATTTATACTAAATCAGGGAGTTAGACAAAATTTAACTTTCCAGAGTTAGAGATTATTTATGCCTTCATATCAGACTTAGTACAAATCTGGAAAGTCTCCCTTTCTAAAGGGAGTGCTGCCCAAATTTCTGCTATTTTTATGAAGTTAGACATACTTTGACTTTTCACAGTTAGATATTTACTTCTGCTTTCATATATGGATTTATATAAATTCTGGAGAGGCACTTCTCCTACGGGAAGCGCTGCCGAAATTTTTCTAGTTTAGAGGAAATAAATTATATTTTGACAGGTGGTGATTCAGGCGATCCACCCTTAATAGGAGAGATTCTACAGTTGGTCTACCTTTGGCTTAAGCATTGGCTTAGAGATGGACTTAGGTTTAGCTTATAAGGAAATTTTGAGTGAGGATGTATTATGGAGTTGTATTCTCCATATACTTATGATCTTAGCTTGGGGATTGGTCTGCCGTGTGTTACAGGTCCTTTGATCATTTGATCCAAGTTCAGGACTAGATCTAGTTTGATCCCTTGAGGATCACCTTCTGTTATCACTGATAACAGGTCGGTTGCCGATTCATTGGTCTACGACTCAATTCCAACTCACCTTCCACACTGAACCTAAAAGACTTTAGCCCTGGTGATTTCATTGTTTCGTAAGGTTTCACCCATACTTTTATTGAATGGCCATTTAACAAAGGTATTGAGTATTTAATTAAGGTTGGTTGGACATGAGGTAGGGGCTTGCATGGCTAAAGTGAGGGGTACGAGAGTTAAAGATGGTTAGGGTTGACCCCACGTAGTGCGTGGGCCTCTGGTTGAATCTCTGATGTGATTGCAGGTATGCTTGGTGATTCGGACTTGGGATTTTGACGACCTGCGCGCACATAAATATACACATGGTAGAGAGGAACCCCCACTGTGACTGTGAGAAGTGATCGTCCCGTAAAATTAACTCTCATATTTTTACGAGTACCCTGAGTATTTGAGAGGCCTGCTGTATTTGTGCTTAAGGGTTAACCGAATTATGGCTGAGAGAGAAGGGAGATCCCCTTTTATCCTTTTCTTTTTAGAGATTTTTATAGTCGGACGTTGGTCCTGGGCCGGAATTCGAGGTCCTTGTCCAGGACATCCCTAGCCCTAAACTCTGCAGAGAAGGAACCTGCCCCAGCGCAGAGCCTATTTGCCTTGCCTATCGAGACGCTCAGACCAAAGGCCGAAGGTCTCACGGCGGGTGCACGACTATTCCTTCAGCTGTGCAATGTTGTGAAGGATTAGACCCTTACGACACTTCGAGTCTGACACTTTAATGTAATAGGCGGTACTCGGATCCACGAGGTACCGCTTGATTGTGGGCACTACATAGTACGTCAGCATTGCGACTGCTTGCGTACGCTTGCATTGTGAGTCGATATGAGTTAGCCTTGCGTCCGCGCGGTTTTATACTAAGTCTCTCGTGCGACGCCTATTTGGTTTCCGCATTGGAAAGTTATGGGACGGCTACCGAGGGGCTAGGAGCGTTGTCGCGTTGTTTGTGTTGTGTCGTTTCGTGTGCGTTTGTGTGTGTGTGTTTTATTTTTGTGTTTGTAGAGTGATGTGCGCGTGGTGTGTGGGATACGTCCTAGTCGACCGACGACGAGCCGCGCTTAGGACTTCAGCCCTCCCTAGATGTCGTTTCGCGTGAGGGTCTGATAGGCATACTACCGCGCGTACCCCCTATGCTACAGCGAACGAGAAACGCCCTCGGCTGGTCCACCTCTGCGATTGCAACTGATTAGCTTTCGTATTGTGGACTGGTAGCTTGGCAGGGATACGCCCACTGAAGGGAGGTGACAGCTCCCATAAGGTGTAGGTAAGTCGTGCCTCGCGCAGGCCCTATCATGTCGTAGGGGCTCGCGAGAGGTAAGACTGGTGTACTCGGCCGGAGCGGCTTGCGGAAGCTCCATGTATATTTGCGATGAGGATTTAAACCAACTCCTGCGTGACGCGGCCGGGAGGGTCCCGCGCTGCCTCGTGCGGTGCCGGACCGATGCGCTCGACAACGCTGTTCCGAAGAAACAAATGACATATACGTCAGCTGATGCAGCAGTCATTCTGTGCATTTAGTGTGCGTGATCTACTGCTGCCAGCGATTTGATTGCCTTAAATGTGTCGCTCTTCCTGATTTTTAATCCTGTTTTGCCTTTCTTTTCGTTTTTCCATCCCCATGCCACACATGTTATGTTTTGCCATCCAGGCGAAGATTTGTGTTCAACGCGCCATGTTTGGTTCCACGCGTCTTCGTACAACTAACACATATTGGTCTCTTTGCCCTATGGCCTCCAATACTCTACGAGAATTTGGTCTGAGTCCTCAAATTTCTCTTGAACACGTCCTACCCAAAAACTAACTCATTTGTCCGCATTCTCGTCTGGAGTGCGCATCACTACGGAACAACCGATAACAACATGCTTTGCCGGGTCGAACTCCGGTTTCGGGACATCACTCTTATAACCTACGAAACATGGTTTCCTCGGCGGCGAATCGGCAATAGAAAGTTCCACCTTCACCTCTTCTACGCTTCCCGTCATCGGTGTTGGCCAGAACGGAGTTGACAACGGAGCGAGCTGCGAGGTTTTTTCCTGTTCCAGCTTATGAAACATGTTTAACTGTTTCTCCAAGTAGTCTCGGCGACTTGTTTTCCACTGACGTTTCCATTCTTCGTGTTTCTCGAATATCTGGTCGCTCGTCTTTCCACTCCTCGACCAAGGCACTGACACCTTGGCGACCTTTGACAAAGTCTCTGTTGTCCAAGTTCAACTTCAAGGCACACGGTTCCAACGGAAAAGACGGCCCCACTCATCTCCCGTATCTATCCCGCTTGAACCAGTAAATTGCTCCGCCCTCCGGCATCCATTCACTGTCATTGCAGTGCTCTTTGTAGACCATCACAGTGTTGTCTCCGTCCATATAGAACTTGAACAAGTGCGGAGTGGAGTGACCACCAATACGCATGTCCAGGAAGTCTTTGACTGCACCTTTCCAATCCGTCATCTCATTGATAAACGCGCAATCGACCTCACCCTTTGTGGAATTTTTAAGTGCGACGAATAACTCGTCCATCGTGTAAGCATCCGTGTCCACTAGTTTTCTAGCAAATAAACTGAACTTCGCATCGATATCCGTATGCGTGTGACCCACTATCATAAATCCCATTTCAACAACCTCGAAAATGCGGAACTTCACCAATAATGCGAGGTACGCGAACACATACCTTTTTTCGTTTTGACTACCGCAGTTGTCGGCTTGGAGTCTGAAAACAGGAGGCAACACTCTCGACCGTCTCTACATGTCTCTCAACACCGTAGCGATCGAAGACACAATCGAATCCGGACCATGGGGAAACAAAGGAAATCATGTGTGCACAAGAATGTGTGGGCTCCTCCCATGCACGAGAATGCCCGTAAGGTTTGTTTTCATCATTGTGTGGTTATCCATTGCCTTTGATGTCCAGTTCCTAGTTGTGTGAGGAATGAGAGTTTTTGCTTGGTCCATACCATCAATTATGATGCACAAACGTTTTTCTTTCATGAACATAGATTCGGCCGACCATATGTCATACTGTTTCTGATGCGCCTCTTGCAACAGTCTATGGCGATTCAGTTTTGCAACAAGACTGCGCCTCGCTTCTGGCTTGGCCCCTTCAATCAGGTCTGTTTGTTTGGTGCGGTAATTGCATCTAGCGTAGTCTGTCAACCTAGCAAGGTGAACATGCCAGAAGAAGTCACGCCATATACTCCCGAAGACTTGCAAAGAGCAGCAGTCTATGTCATGTTTCGGCAACCGTCGTTTGATGCTGTCGTAGACGTCTTTTTTTGTTGCATAAGTTGGAGGTAGTCTGACCCGTGGTCTTATCTCGTAGTCTTTGCTCATGTCAGTCTGGTCAGGCATCGCTTCACCCTCCTCCATTATCATTGTCTCGAATGTTTTGAAAGTCATAGCACGAGTCGCGGATGTTGTGGAATGTCTTTTCCTACCATGAAGAGGCAACACCCTGCCCTCTTTATGCAATTCCTTGTACAATGCGTAAGTGTTCCTCGAGAAACTGATTCTGTAACACCACGCCTGGACGCATACCCAATGCTTTTCAATGACTGGTTTCACCACCTTCTTCCGATCTTCAATGCACATGAAACCGTCCAATTGTTTTATCCACCATTTCTGCCTCTCCTCTCAAGCCAGTGATGTATATCTCATTTTCGCCCTATACACCTCCTCTACTATCATCTTTGAACAACACTGCAATTTTGCACAACACTTTTTATTTAACACTGCACGACATTCCTCCATGGTACATTTCTCAACCATCGATTCTTCCAATGAGCCACTCCTTCTCTTCCGCTTTCGATATGTGTATGGTCGTTTGCCTCTCTCTAACCC